GAGGAGGAGAAGGAGGAGGAGCCGGCGACCAGGCCTCGGCCGCCGCAGGGGGAGGAGGAGGAGGAAGCAGGCGAGGAGGAGCGAGACGAAGTGGCGACACAGTCTGTGAAGAAGAAGGAGGAATTGGAGGAGGAGGAAGAGGAGAAGGAGTGCGAGACAGACATGCCCTCTGTACAGATCAAACCAGAGCCAGAGGAGATGGAGTGCACGGTGAGAAGGGGCAGGCGGGGGTGATTGATTAGAAGAGGGTGGGGGATCTGTGGGTGAACAAGCAGGAGGATTGGTGGAGCAGATGAGTGGATGAGAGTCAGGTGGGTGTGGGCAGGTGTGGCCGCCGACTGGCATTGCTCATGATCAGACATGTTTGATCACGCCGAGTTCACACTCAACACACGCGGGATTAAAATCAGACGGGCGCAGGAGGAGGGTTTTGTTTTAATGCTAATAATTATCTTGGCATCAAGAAGATTTAAAAATGAGCCAGTGATTAACTGAGTATTAATTAGTCAAACGACTCTCACCTCTCTTAGTGTTCCAACTTTAGTTTTTAGTTATATTCAAGAATGAACTGACAACATGACAGCATGTGTAAATCAGAGCTATGAAAATCCTTTTTTTTAAAGGGGAGTTCTGGTTCATTACCCCATTGGTCTTATTCTCATAATCTTGGCCGTGGTTCCTTTCTGTAATAATAACAGTTAACCTAAAGAGTGAATAGTTGTAAAGGTAAAGGTAAATGCAAGAAACAGGAGTGGTCAGACGACACCAAACTTCCATCACAGCTCATATGCTGACTTCCTGTGTCAACTTTGACCTACTGTACTTGCTGTAGTTGTGCGCACAGTTTTCCTGTGTAAGAAGGGATTGTTATTGCTCATTGTCAGTTTTACCTTCAATAATCTGGCTGAACTATTGGCTTGTTTATAACCTGTCTCATCATTTTTTTTATTTCGTAATCTTCTAGCATTGTCTTAGACTTTTAAATCAAGTCTTTTATATCTGTTTAAACATACAAAACAAATCTTAGTTTGTGGATCGAGATGTTTTATCTGATGGGTTTTCAGACCAAAAACAGTGTTAAAAACAAGGAGCAGCCTTGGTGGGCATGTGGTGTCTCAGGTAGTATGGAGATGATGTAACACAATACACGAAGTCCAGTTTGAGTAACAGATTCACGCGTTTAATGGCTTAGCAGATGCCTAAACTCTACACAGCAGTTTCTAATACTATGAGGAAGGAATTTACAACTCTGCTGCAATCCTTTTGTCTTTCGTTGCCAATGATCACCAGGTCATTCATGTTGCAAAATAAGCTACCAGGAATGTGTATTGTGTTGGGTGACATCACTTTGCATTGCGGCAAAAGTTTGCACTAAGTTCCCTTTTTTTTGCCGGATGATCCTACATTTTTTTTGGAACTCCTGCTGGGTCAATGCAGTGATCCCATTCAAATGAATGAAAAGGCCTTTCCCATGCAGTGTTGTCTGTGTGAACGCAGTTTAACCAAGGTTTGACACTGATTGGCCTTATTTGGTTGCCTGACGTAGGTCCATGACGGAAACATTGTGTCATAATAAATTCAGTAAAGAGGAATGTGAGTGAGTGAGTGGCATTATCTTTTCCTTAGGAGACTAACAACAGAAAGAATTCCCATAGACTTGCATCTCTTCACCTGTAGCATGATGCTCAATATTCAGTGTAAACATGTCAGCGAGTATTTTTTGTTATATCTTCTGAGCAAATGTGTTTGTACAAGGTCTTTAACTGCGACAGCAAAGAAAGGTCAACAGTGAGCTTCTATTTTCTCGTCTCATACATGAAATTTGTATGTGAAATTAAAACCAAACAAACTGAAATTTAATCAGTAGTTTTACACCTTTTCTGTTTTGTAATTGTAATGAAAATAGTTTTTTTTGTAAATCCAGCTGTCAGACAAACACACAAAGGAGTGCCGGCATTTTGACTCAGAATAGATGTTGATTTGACAGCTTGCTTCAAGATATTAAAAACATGGGAAGCCTGCTGAAAGCTGAAATGATGCCTCTACCTGTCATTTTGAGAAATTGGATCCTACATGCATCAAATCAAAACAAACTCTAAACTGTTCTCCATGAACTTGTGTCCTGCTGTCATACTTTGAGGACGTTTTGTTTAAAAGCAACTCTCAACAATGAGTTATCGGATAAGCCACCCCACTGACAAAGCAATGATATCACGTAAGTTCTTAGTCCTTGTTTCATTTCATCAAGAATTTCATTTTGGAAAATTATATTTCACGGCGAAGGAAGTTTCCTGTAAAGACAGAGGACACAGAGGAGGAATGAAAGGGGAAGGACCGAGTGAAATGGAAATTCTGGGTAGTGGATTGGTGGGTGGAGCACAGAATGAGGGATGAATTGATGATAGATGGAGATCTGTAGATGAAGTGAAGGAAGTGCCAGAGCGAAATTGATGGAAGAATGACTTGGGAGATGTATGAAGGGGGTGGGTAAGCAGGACAGGAGGGTTAGGAGGGATGGATGGTGTGTATGTGAACATCAGAAGGAGTTTGGTGATGGTTGTGCTGAAGGCCTGATTCTTTTGTTATCTTGAAACATAAAAAAGTGGTATTGTATGGTCCCTTCATGCAGTTTCTCTTAGTGAAGCAGTTTCCTTTGTTCAGCCATGGTGGCTATCACAAAACATGCTTATTACCCAAATACTGCTTCTGCTTTTTCCAAAGCAAATGAGAAACACCTTCATTGTCCTCAGTAACTGCTGCTGCTGGAGAGCCTTTGAGCAAAGCATTTAACCCCCTAGAACTATGGGTCCACAGTAGCAGTGAATGAACGAATGGAACCGTGATGATGTGAGGCGAGGCAGAGGCAACCACTTGTATACCCTGTCAGGCTTCTGTGGATATTTAAAGATGATGATGAGTCTCTCTGCTCTGTCGATGTAATGTCAGGAAAGTGAGGGAGTAGTGAGAGCAGGACGTCCTGCTGGTGGCTGGAAATGATTGATGGGTAGCTGAAAAGACATAGAAAGTCCTAAAAAACACTCGCACTATGGACAAACACTTAATTGCTCTCATCGTGTGTTGACATTTGTGGTTTTGCATTTCAAGCTGCAGCGTTGACCTTTTGTTTGTTTTAGTCCTGAGTGACTTCCAGGGAGAGCATTAGGAGAACGAGCTCCATGAAACAAATAGGGAGGAGGTCAGAGGTCACAGCAGCGCCAAAAGCGCCCTGACAACTGAGTGTGTGAATCATTTTGAGGAGAAAAGCACCTCTCGAAAACTAAACACCCTCGAAAACCTACCCGCCATGTCGCCCCGGCAGCTTTATTTTTCAGGATTGTACTATTAATAATAAATTGAGCTAATTTGGAGTGTAGAGCTGCATCTTCTTTCTTGTGATTTACACCGAACCGAGGAGTTTCATTGAAGCAGTGGAGTGGTAGTATTTTTCAGTTGACTCCTGTTTTCTTTTTTTTTTTATTATCTCAGATATACCTGTCTCAGAGGATTTGAGCTGTGTAAATATACATGACAGAATGTGTAATACAACCCCTAAATTATGGTCGGACAAGGCAATCTTCATAGCAAAAGATTATAATACTGTTTAGTTATTAAGTCCCCACTTCTATATAAACATACAGTCTTGTGTTTCATGCCAGTTAACAGTGCTAGTCAGCCTCCTATAAATTGCCTATGTCCGTGATGTATTTATTGTTTAGTTTCTGCTTGTAAGGAGTGTAGATCTTAATCTAAATTTGTTTTTTTTTTTACCTGTGCAGCAGCATTTTGGATTTTGTTTTATGTCGCTTTGATAACTGAAATCTCTTGTTGTTTGCAGTTTTTCCTGAATTAAGAGACCTGTCAGTCTGTTTGATAATGATGGGAGGTTCCAGGTTAACTCCTTTGTTTACATTTTAATGTTTGATTATACCTTTAGGAATTTAAATTGTCTTCCAAAAGGCTACATTATGTTCTTCAAGAAGTGCTCACGGATGCATGGTTAACTGGCCGGCCTCATGGCTATCACAAGAGACAACCCTGCTGGTCTGTTGTAGCTTCCCATCCTGGTTAGGGACACAGTGTGGCTAGACTTTATGAATGCTAAATAAATATAATCATAAGTAATAAATACTTTGGGAGTGTTTGCATGTTGTCCTGGCTGAGCTTACTGATTAGCAGCGCAGGCATGTTGCTACACCTTTGACATTTCTAACTTCATTGTTAGGTTGATAGGTAGAGCCATGTACCCTGTTATAATCCGAGTCAGGAGAAGGTATAGAATAAGAAGGGCGTGAGACGTAATGACAAGGTGAGGCCAATTGGAGTTACAGGCACGCAATGGCAGCCATTATCCCAGCCAATGTGCTGAGGAAGGAGGGGAAGGGTGTTGTCAGCTGCTGGGGAGGATGGGTGAGGTATGAAGAGAGGAAGCTATAGGAAGTGTAAGAAAAGCAGAGTGTAGAGAAGATAGGGAGAGGAAAGGAAACAATTTGGTGGCCAGGAGAAAGACGAGGAAAGAGTGCAGATAGAGCGAGGAGAGATAGGAGGGAAGGTAGAGAGGTTGAGGTGGAGAGGGTGTGGACGGCCAGATAAGGAAAGGCTGCACTGCAGGATTATGACTGACGTACATTTTGTCCTCCCGTATTGCCTTCAATGATTTTTTTCTTTTCAGAATGTTGTTGTCCCTGTTGGCTCTGTACAGCCAGCAGCAAGGAAACGAACACCGATGCTGGGTGTTTTTCATTAGGGAAGCTAACAATGCTAACAGGCCTTCTTAGAGAAACTGAAGGCCAAATGGACAGAGTGCTTTTGTCTGTGGTCATAAAATCAATTGAGATGTTTTTTTAAAAAATATTCAAAATATATTTTTATATTTAAATTGCGTGTGGTTTCAGTATCCTGTAGATTCATAAAATATAGAATGAATCCAAAATTTTACTATTTTAGGTGAAAATTTCAGGTATATTCATCCATCTGAGCAGTGTATTTGTTTACATCTACCACCTTCACCTCCTGGGGAAGCAGGGAAACTAGTCCTCACAAGTACAAGTCCCCGGGCCAGTAGAAGTCATTATGGAGGCTTCAATCAGGGTAAAAATTACGAACATCGGTTCAGGTTAGGTTTTGTTTAACTGTAGTGTATTTCAGCTCCTCACTAGACCTACAGCAATGATTGGAGTGCAGTTTTTCCTTAAAATCTTATCTCAAAAATG